TACAGCAGGCCTCAAAATTTCCACTCGCCCCCTCGCAATTGGCGAGTGAAAATTGCGGGGGGGCGAGTGGAATGTCAGCAATGGTGCCTCGCCGGCGGGACTACCGCACTACCGCTGTGGCAATCGCTCGTTTTTGTTTTCTCTTCTCTTTCTCGCCTGCTGCAGCTACAGAGCGGCCGAGCCCGAGAAGGAGAAGAGAGAACAGAAGCGAACGCTTGCCGCGGCGGTAGTGTTCCATCCAGAGCCCGAGCTAGCTCTCTGCGCTCCCTCTCTTTCGTCCCGGCCGCTTCAGCTCCACTCAGAGAGGCGGCTCTGATTACACCCGTTATCGCTCCCTCTCTCTCCTTCTGGCCGCTCTGAAGCTGCAGCGGCCGGGAGCAGAGAGAGGGAACGCTGACAGGTGTGATTGTAGCTGCCTCTCTTGAGTGCCCGCTTCCTGGAGCTGGAGCGGTCGGAAGAAGAGGTGATCGTTCAGCGGTGTGATCAGAGCAGTCTTAAAGAGCCCCCCCTCCCAGTCCACATCTTTTGGACGTTATTAATCTGAGTTGCCCCACTCAGTATGCCCCTCGCTTGCGGCCATATTGAGTGGGGCACTTGTATTAATAACGTGCTGGATTGATCTGACCCAGCGGCGGACTAGGCCGGGGGCAGGGTGGCAATTGCCCCCCAGGCCTCTCTGATGCCATGGCATGGGGGCGTTTGCAAAGGTTCTATGTGGGCTCTTAGATGGCTGTGTGGGGTCTCAGGTGGGCTATGTGGGCTCTTAGATGGCTGTGTGCGGTCTCAGGTGGGCTATGCGGTCTCTCTGATGGCTGTGTGGGATCTCAGGTGGACTATGCAGGCTCTTAGATGTCTGTGTGGGGGTCTGAGGTGGGCAATGCAGGCTTGCACGAGAAGTGCAGTGGTCTCGGCTGGGGTCCGGAGATGGTCAAAGTGCTGACAGGAAGGAGCTGGAGGAGATGTGCGGGCTGACTTGAAACCTGGACACAAGACTCCGAAACTGGACTGTCCGGGTGAATCCTGGACAGGTGGCAACCCTAGATCTAAAGAAGACTCTCTGTAGACAAATGCTGAATTGCTCAGAGTGTCAGATCTTGTGGGATAGTTCTGAGATTATGGACACTGTCCACCATTACCCGTGCCTCCAACTCACGTTTCCCTCCTAGAGCACTTCCTGTTTGTACTTAGTTTTACAGTATTCTGTCTATACCTTACATCACTTCCTGTCTGTACCTTACATCACTTCCTTTCTATACATTACATCACTTCCTGTAGGTGGCTACCACGTGAGATCACCACCTTGTGTTGAATATAAATACTTCAGTCTCCGTTATGTTTCATCATTGTGCTCGCTGCCTTGTGGTCTATTCCTCTATTACGTTACATCCATGACTACACACAGATTATACCTCACATCAAATCCAGACAATACAGAAATAAAATACAAAATTTGTTTGAATATTATAGTCACACACTATTATTATTATACATTTATATATCTGTACAGAGGAGCTACACTCTAATGTCCCCTCCCCCCACAGTCACATCAGTCTCTGTACAGATGAGCTTACACTCTAATGTCTCTCCACGGTCACAAACTATGTGACTGGCTCAGTGTTCTCTGTACAGCACTGCGGTATATGTCAGTGATATATAAATGTATAATAAGAGGGGGTGTCTGTGGCAGGTCTGAAGTAAATCTCTGTGAGGAGCAGAATCTGCCGGTGACTCTGATCCCGCTCTGTGATAGGTTACTATGGAGGGAGTGCAGCCAATGACAGTGGAGGAGGTGTGAAATCTGAGGTAAATCTCTGTGGAGAGCAGTATCTGCCCGGTGACTCCGATCCCGCTCTGTGATTGGTTCCTGTGGAGGCAATGCAGCAAATGACAGTGGAGATGTGAAGCGGGGACTCTGATTGGCTGTGAGGCTGTTCTCAGCTCCTTCTGTCAGTTACTGAAGTCTGCATCTTGTTTTATATTAGTGACAGAAGTGATGGAGGAATGTGGGGGAGGCGGGTTCTATTACACCTCCTTCTGTAACGATCCCTCTGAGACTATACTGAATACAATGCCTGAGGTTTGTACACTTACCCCATATAGACCGGTAACACATACACTTACAGCGGCCAGGAGAGGACTGGCTTGGGCCTGGAAATCTCCCTCTCTCCCCTCTGCCAGTGTGAAAGCTCTGGTGTCTCCGGTCATGTTCTATGAGAAGCTTACTGCTAGACATAAAGCTTCTCTATATATAAGAAGACATGGACTCCTTGGATTGTCGCCTCCTTTCTTATGGATTCCTGAACTCTCTAGTTTCCTGATCTGTATTGGGCTGGTTGGTGCTGTGTGCTATCTCCCTGTTTGAGGGTTTACCCCCCTTGGATGTGTTCTGGACCTTTCGTGTTCCTGGCTTCCTCCCTCCCCTTTCTTCCCTCTCATTTGTGGAAGGCGGCTCTCCCTCTCCCCTTTTATCTCTCTTCCTTCTATTCAGTTTCCTTCTTCTCGGTTTTCTACATATTCTCCTTTTCTCGGATACATTTTCCTGTTCCTATTCTCTCTCCTTAGTTTTGGTTTAGTGCTCCTTGCCTGGCCTGCCTCTTAGTGGACGTGTGCAGTTTGCTATGATTCACGTGTCACTTATATTGTTCCATATACAGGTGAAACTCGAATAATTAGAATATCGTGCAAAAGTAATGGCAGTAAGTGCTGCAAAAGGGGCCCAAACCAAGTACTGAGTACATATGCATGCTTGTACTTTTCAGAGGTCCGATATTGTTCTATGTACAATCCTTGTTTTATTGATTGCATGTAATAATCTACTTTTCTGAGGTTGTGGATTTGGGGTTCTTGGGGTTTTCATGAGCTGTAAGCCATAATCATCACAATTATGACAAATCACAGCTTGAATTATCTTGCTTTGCATGTAATGAGTCTATCTTATATATTAGTTTCACCTTTTAAGTTGCATTAGTGAAATAAATGAACTTTGCACGATATTCTAATTATTCGAGTTTCACCTGTATACTTGGGGACGTACGGGTCCCTCATAATGTGGGTATTTGGAATGTAGCACTTCATCACATTATTGGATCTCTTTGTTGTTTCACTCCGTAGATATTTTAAGTGTATTTCGAGTATTGTCCTAGCAGGAATACCAGACCTCAAAAACAGGAACAGAGATTTGTGTCCCTGACATGATTTAAGGTTTATTCAACATAAGTTGGGCAGCACGATAGCCAGTGTACTACACCCGAAAAGAGGAATTACATTCATTTTTAAGTAAAGGCACATTAGCATAAGTCATGACACATGCCAGTGGCGTCCCACACTGGCCCGGCACGGAAATACAAATCATCCAATAATATTTGCTTATTCATCACAGCTTTGAAATGGTTAACTCTCTGAAGCCACAGAGCCCCTCCCACATTTGCATCATTTTTATTAATCAAACCGAAACAGTAATTGAAGAACCAATGGTTCTTTTGTGGTGAGCCGACTTGGTCTGGTGTCTGACACTATACCGTACATGAGGGGTAT